TACTTTGTATGTACTGAAAAAATTGAATTGATTGAATAGTATACCAAAAAAATTATTTGAATAGATACAGGTAAAAAGTAATGACCCAAAGTGTAATAAACAAAAAATTCATTTTAATGTATTGATTGTCATTTTCTTCAAAAGATAGACCAATGATCTAGTTAAGTAGCATACCTCTGACAAGAGTTATACTGCTACATTCAACTAACCATTATTTTAGGTAAGAGAGAAATTTTTTTGATGCCTCTTACAATAAATGTAGGAAAAATTCAAATTTAAAAATAATTTTGACTAAGTAGAACTAGTTTCACTAAAAAAGTGGTATGCCAAAGAATGATCGATTTCTCCAATAATTTTTTGAGATAAAAAAGTGGTACATCAAATTAAGAACGATTTTTTGATTTTTTTTGATTTGGTAGTATGTAAAGAAATATGCAAAAGCATGATAAATTTTTCAATATAGTAGTACATCAAAGTATCAACTACACAAGAAAGGCTTTCAGAGATCCAAAACATATCATACTCGCGGTATTACTCCAAAGTAAGATCAAATTTTTCAATCCAGTAATACACAAAGGTAAAATGACAAAGCATAGGTCAATTTTTTGACAAGAAAAAATGATACTCAAAAGTATCAACTATACAAGGAAGATCGATAACTGATAGCTGGTGCTTGTGTGGTGTTTGCTTTGTGTTATCACCCCCTAGAATAAAGTCAGTGTCTGCAACTTGGGTTGCTGTTTTGGATTCAGAATTTTGAGTCCTGGGTTGCCATCTTGTTGGTAGCATGCCAACTCACCAACAACCCTACCCCAATTAAATAACAAGTTCAGTTAGTCAAATAAAAATTAAAGAGAAACAGAAAATTTATGAAAATGATTAATTTATATGGAACATACCAAACAAAATCTGAACCATTTTATAACTTTTTTCTTGTTGGCCATATTGCTGACAAAGATATATAAAATCATGTGATAATTTTAATCTGAGCAAAAACCCATCCAGTCCCCTACCCAAAATTATAAATTGGTTAGTATCAGGGGAACAGAGCATTTAGGAAAATGATTATACAAAACAAACACTATTTTACAACTTTCCTCTTAACATCAGAGTCCAAATGCAATTTCAGGGTCACCAACCCTGCTCTGAATTGTAACCTCCTGTGCTTGAACAAGTTGCATATTCTCTTAATATTCCTCCAGAGTTGTGACACAGATCCATCCTTGCCATAGAGGTGGGTTGTTGCAGGCAACTTTTCGGCCAACATGTCAGCAAGCTTTCTTTGGTCAGGTGCTGTGAGGGAAGATTAGTGAAAACATCATTGACAATTGGTGCAGTCTTGGTAAACCCCAGGGCCATGCCTCCCCCTTGAATTTAACATCATCATTGTATCATCGGGGAAATCTTGGAAGATTAGCCTTATGTACATGAGGAAGATGAGAGAATGACTGTAATGTTCAAGGTAGCGTGCATGCTTCAACACTGCCAATTTCTGATAATAAAATGTTGCATATCAAAATGTTTCTTCTGCAATGGTGTGCTGCTTTGACATCATCTTGTAATTAATTATAGCAACATTAATAATAATATTGATTACAAAAAGCAAAATACCAATTGTTTATTACTTTGATAAGGATCTTATAATTATCCAGCAAGATCTGCTCCGCATTTTAAAATATTTATAAAAACTATCAATACAAATAAAAAATAGTACCTCTGGTTAGTTATTAACAACACTCATGTGTTTTGTCATCTAAATTGCTATTCCAAGAAAAAAAAATCAATCATGTCAACAAAAAAACCATCCGTGCAACACCAAGTGCCAATAATAAATAATTAATGACGCGATCAAATAAATTTCTTTTTTAATTATAATAATAAAAAATCAGGGAACAAGAAATTTTGCATGCATATTCTACAGGATCTAGGCCACAAGCTATGTATACTTATTATGTGTGTTTTCATGTAATTGGTTCTCCGAAAATTTGCTGTAGTGTACTATTTGATCTAATAAAATATACTTGAATCTACTAAAACAAATAAACAAATGATTAATTTATTATATTTATTCACACAATCATGTAATTAATTGCATTATTTATTTTATCTTTTCCAATTCTTCATCAAGTTCTTGAGCTTCAAAAATTAAATCTTCACAATTTTTGTACAGGAGATGTATTCATATTCATTTGTATCTAAAACAGGATGGTTAACATGAACTTTGTACATGTTTTTTTTTACAATGAGTTATACTATCAGTGAAATCTAAAAATATAAATAGCATAATATAATTAAAATCATATAATCAATGAAATATGGATGTATATTTTTTTATAGTTATATTCATATGTATATACCAGTTTCAGAAGCATCAATGATACTGCCCTTAAACTTATCAACAGCTTTATCTACAGAAATTTTTTCTTTGACTATATTTTCATTCAGTTCTTCGAGGTAATTTTAAATAAAAAAGATACTCTAAAATTTTGAAAAACCTTCTTATTTTAAAATAATTATAATAATAACAATATTATTTACCCCATTGTCTACAGCATCACTTTCTTCAGGTGTATCTGGAGATTCATAAACGTCTGGTTGGGTCTCTAAATATCAGTTTAAGCTGTTTCTATTACAATAAAATTTTGTTCAACAAGTGAGAACTTACAATGTCAGGAATATTACTATATTTACTTGATAATTGAGACTTTTTTTTAACACCTTAATTGATTAATAAACAGAGCGGGAAAGCCGACAGATAAAGGCTTAATATATATAAAAAAAAAAATGCAGGTCAAACAATAAAATGTGTGGTATTTTGAACATTAATCATTTTTCATAGCTTAAATTAAAATAAATCAGATATGAGAAAAAAATGAATAATTTTAATATTAAAGTTGCATTTACAAAAAATCTTACTAACATTTTATTATTAAAAAATAAATGAATGAGAAGGGAACATCTTAAGAGTAAGCCTCGTTGTGTTATGAATTATTCTTCTTGATATGTTTCAATTAAAAAGAAAGAAATCACAATCGCATAACTGTGCTATGACCAACAAAACCAAATTCGTGATCAACCAAAGTCTCAAAATAAAAGAAAAAAAATCCAATGAGCTGAGAACAACTCATCTAATCCTTTTCTTTCTTTCTCTTTGACATAAGGAAGATTAAACGGATGGTTTATACCATATTATAGGTGACACTTTCTGTCATGTGTCCGAGGACTTTCCCCAAAGCAATTGAAAATAATTTTAATGTGAGCTAATATGTATATATTGCTCTGCATGTAGTGCTTTGATAGCGATTCTTTAAGGTGTTCCCTCCAAGAAAAATAAAAATAATTGGATGGGGTTTTGTAACATCACTTATTACAAATATGGTACAGATCATCTAGACATCAAAAAAAACGGCCATCTTTAAAATGCTAAGGCTCAACAACTCTAAATTGGAGGTGGGATAAAAAATATATATTTTTCAATTTATTAATATTAATTAAAAAAAAAAAAAGCCTTAGGGTTTGAAATTACATTTTATTACCCTAAAGATTGTAGCCATGCTTAAATTCATTCCATCCTCAGAAAAACAATTCAATCTTTCATATATTAGTAATAGCATTAAGGTAACAATTTATCAAATGCTTGTTTATGTTCGCCCATTGCTCCTCAAAAGCATCCAACTACAATACCTATTATAAGGGCAATACTGTTAAGGTAAAATCTATCATTTGTAACATCCATATTGCTAATTTTAAATGATAAAAAGAATCAGCTGCAATGTGTATATACAGTATATGAAAAAATCAAATAAATGATACTGCGAGTATGCAATATGAGTTACTTACTTACTAGTAGTCTTATGTTTGGCATATGGCTGTCTTATTTTGCCCCTGATTTGCGGCCCATAATTATACCTATTGACAATAAGTCTAATTATCAACACACAGCTAAGGCTTACTTTGCCTCCTGACTTATGGTTGATTTCACTATCTTACAGCACATAGTCTTGATAGTCTAAATATTTGACACACAGCTAGGACTTACTTTGCCTGCTGACTTACAGTCAATACTTCTTTTATCTTATGACACACAGTTTAGATAAAAGATCCCTAAGTTGCTGCATCTGTTTATATTCCAAAGGCATCCTCTTGGCAATATGTTTATTAATGTATATATGGGGCATACTGCAACAAAAACCAGACAGTGAACATTGGTAAGGAAATAATTATTTCTCCAAGAGCTTTGGATTCTCCTCTCATTGCAAATATATTGTATTTTTCATGTTCAAAAAAAAAAATAAAGTTTACCCATATACATAAGAAAAATAAAATTTGCATACATAATTGTGTTTATTTTTGCATGTATATTCTGAAATTTTATGGCATCAATGAATATATATAATTACATTTACTTTTTACATGAGTATTCCTGGAATTTATAGACATGTTGTATGAGAAATCGAAATCTATATACCCACTTAAAAAGAAACAAGAACAAATAATTGAAGTAAAAACTAAACAAGTCAAACCAACCCACACCAATTCTTTTTTACCAAATCTTTTTTTAATTTCTTTAATTTTTAAAAGATAACAAAGACATGCTCATCTAGGTAGTAAATTATTTCCCTTCCAATTTTCTTTTCTTTCTAAATCCTTCATGATTTTGTGGCAAAGTAGACCTGGTGTAAATGGGATATTATAAAACTGTTAATTATGATCACACTACAAATGACTAAATTTTGATCCCTGAAATTTTTGGTAATACCAATGCTCAATTTGTCTGGTTTTGTTGCAAGCATGCCCCATATGATCATGATATTTGTCTAGACAAAAATAGTTAATATGAAACTCATTTACATTATGTCTGCCATGAAACTCAAAGAATTATAGTACCATTAAAAGTATTTTGAAGAAAGAACAAGGTGAAAAAATTGCACCTTATATTTTCAAAATAAATGATATTCAGATACTGGAAGCTTATCTAGGGATAATAAAAGAAACAAAAAACAGAAATCCTTAGAAGGAAAATAATCCTATTATTGCAAGATTGATCCTTTTTTTTTATGTATGATTATTGCCGATTTTACTATTTATGGAATGACTAGAAATATAACATGAGCAAACAATTTTTATCGCATTTTTTTCTTTGATTGGGTCAAATTGGGGGACTAGATGACTTGCGACGCTGATCACATAAAAATTCACCGATTCTTTCAATTAAATGGATTCTTCAAAGACCAAAATGTCAAGTAAAAAAAAGAAAAGATTTGAAAAATATCTTGTATGATGCTCACAATAAAATTATTCAATTAAAATAATTGAGTCTTATATTCAAAATAAATAATTGGTAGTTTTTTTTAGGAGAAAAAATTGAAAAAAGAAGAAAGAGTGGATTTATTTGAGAAGCTCTCAAAATCATCTTATTCTTCAAATTTAATGAAATCAAGTAAAGATCTGGGAAGAAAGGTGTCCATAAAAAATAGATTTTAACAATCAAGATTTGATTCGATTTGATTCTATCTGATTCGATTTGATTCGATCTGATTTGATTTGATTATGTGCTAATTTAATTTTCATACTACAATTTTAATAGAAAGAAACCAGGAAAGAAAAGCTTGCCTTAAAATATGGTAAACATGGTATAGATGAGGAAGAATCGATATCACCACCATTTAAAAAAAAACATAAAAGCATTAATAGTGCAACTGTAGACATGGTTGGAGAAAAAAGTAAAAATGCTATTAATGAATTCAAAACTACTGTTAAACAGGTAACCGATCTTCTTTGAGATGCTTAAAGAGTTTACATCAGAATCTTTTTTAGTCTCGATTATAATTATTTGCATGAATCACTCATAAATTATTTTTGTTATAGATTGAAGAAATACAGGCTGCAAAGTTGGAAGATATTAATAATACAACTACAGACATGGCCGAAGAAAAAAATAAAAATAAAAAAACAATAACTTCTGTTAAAAAAGTAATCAATATTACATTACTATTTCTGGCATATAGCCTCAATTGTGCTGTTGTACCTATTTAATTATTTATAGACTATTATTTTATTATAGGCTGAAGAAATACAGGCTACAAGATTGAAAAATATTAATCATGCAACTGCATACATGGCTGAAGAAAGAAATAAACATACTAATAACAACAAACCAAAAACTTCTGTTAAAAAGGTAATTGAGTGCTTAAGGGTAGGGGAAACCGTGGAAATTTCAGATCAGGATCCGCAGTACATTCAGATAATGTCACATGATTCACCCTATCTTAAAGATTAATCTAAATCATTCAAACTATTTTTTGTTATAGACTGAGAATATTAATAATGCAACTACAGACATGGCCGAAGAAAATAATAAAGATCTTGTTAAAAAGGTAACTGGTCTTTTTTAGAAGTTGAAAACTTTTGCAGCTTTTTATTCAGAGTTTCAATTTTTGGGGGGCATTTATGGTTAACTTGCATCATTAATCACACATAAAAATTTATTATTACTATTGTAGGCATTTTATATCCCAGTTGAAAGGTCTGAAGAGATCCAGACTGCGAGGATGGAGTTACCCATTTGTGGAGAAGAACAAATAATAATGGAAACAATAAGTCAAAACTCAGTAGTAATAATATGCGGTGAAACAGGTTCAGGAAAAACAACCCAAATACCACAATTTTTATATGAGGCTGGTTACGGAAACAAGAATAGTGGTATAAATAAATATAAATTATGTATTGATTTCATTATTTCATAGTAATATATTAATTTTTTCCCTCCTCCAGATAATCCTGGAATTATAGGAATCACCCAACCCCGTCGTGTTGCTGCAATTAGTATGTCAAAACGTGTAGCATATGAGTTATCATTGAGTGATCAAGAAGTATCTTATCAGGTAGGTGTCAAAAGAGGGTTTTTTTTGTGGTTTAAGATTAATTAGTTAATAAATTTTTTTATTAATAAAAATTTATTAGATTCGTTATGATGCGACAGTTTCGCCTAAAACTGTTATTAAATTTATGACTGACGGCGTTTTACTTCGTGAACTTACTAATGATTTTTTACTAACAAAATATTCAGTCATAATAATTGATGAAGCACATGAACGAACTTTAAACACTGATATATTAATTGGTGTTGTTAGTCGTGTTTTAAATTTGCGAAGAGAATTGAATCAAGATGATAAAAACAAAATCAAGGTATTTATACTTGCTTTTTATAATACGTTGAATCTAAATCTTTATTTTTAATTTATATTCTGATTTATTTATCTAGCCTTTAAAGATTATAATTATGTCAGCTACTTTAAGAATTTCTGATTTTACTGAAAATAAAACGCTTTTCAAAATACCACCACCTATAATAAATGTCAATACAAGACAATACCCAGTATGTTTTTGAACTTTAAAATATTCATTTATTAATTTAAATAAAAATGTTGTCAAACGAATTTAAACAACTTTTATAGGTTTCAATTCATTTCAACAAACGTACTCCTCATATTAATCATATTAGTGAGGCTTTTAAAAAAGTTTGCAAGATTCATACAAGGCTTCCACATGGAGGTTAATATACTTTTTGAATAAAAATATACAAATTCTCACATGAAAATCAAAAAAATCGATCGGGTAAATTTTTCAAAAATTCAATTTTTAGGTATTCTCGTCTTTCTAACCGGTCAAAATGAAATATCTGTATTATGTAAGAAACTTCGAAAAAAATATCCTAATACTTTACGATATCAGAAGAGTGAAATATTTTCAGAAAATCAACAACAACCAAGTAATGGAGCGATTGAGAATGGCAATGAAAATTTAACAGCAAAAGAAGGCATTCATTATTTAATCTTTAAATAATTAACAATTTATGTATGAAGCCATACACAGGTTCTTTAACAATATATTTATTTATAACACAATAATAGCTGATATTGAAGTTGAAGAAATTGATATTGGTGAAAATGAACTTGAGATTTTAGAAAGCGATTCAGACGATGATGACGATGGTGATGATGATGAATTTCAAGATTTTCAAAATGGTATATTATATTAAAATAAATAAAAATTATAGAGAAAAAGAGATTTGTTTTACTAACACCATTTAATGTATAATTTCTTATTTAGATCCACTTCATATACTTCCATTATATTCTTTGCTTTCTTCAAAAGCTCAATTACGTGTATTTGAGCCACCACCAGAAGGAACACGGCTTTGTGTTGTTGCAACAAATGTAGCTGAAACTTCATTAACAATTCCTGGGATAAAATATGTTGTAGATTGTGGTAAAGTTAAACAACGTAAATATGATGCTATCACAGGTGTACAATCATTCACAATCGATTGGACTTCAAAAGCATCGGCAGATCAACGTGCAGGCCGCGCAGGTAGAACAGGGCCTGGTCATTGTTATCGTCTTTATTCTTCGGCTGTTTACAATGATCAATTTCAAGAATTTACACCAGCAGAAATTCATCGTATGCCTATTGAAGGTGTTGTACTTCAAATGAAATCTATGAATCTTGATAATATAGTCAACTTTCCATTTCCTACACCACCTAATCGTGATCAATTGCTCAAGGCTGAGAATCTATTAAAGCATATGAATGCATTGGATGATAATACTGGCCAAATTACTGAATTAGGTCGTGTTATGGCAACATTTCCTATCGCCCCCAGATTTTCCAAAATGTTGATAATTGGACAACAACATGGATGTCTTCCGTACATAATTGCAATAGTTGCTGCTCTTTCTGTTGGTGATCCATTTATCAAGGATTATCAAATAGATGACAATGATATAGAAAATGAGAGCGAGAGCGAGGAAGAAGAAGATATTACTGAGAAGCAGGAGTTAAACGAGATTCAAAAAGAATCTATGTTCAAAAAAGAGCGTCGAAAATTAATGAAGAAAAGATTTTATGAAATGCAAAGGGTATTTGTAAAAAAATAAATCATAACGCTACTTACTATATTAGTTTTTAGATACGTTAACATTCACGTTGACGTCAACTTTAACAATATTATTATTTGTATATATAGAAACATGCAGGGCTGGATCCGAACAGTGATATCCTAAAAATTTTGAATGTTGTTGGTGCTTATGAATATGAAGGATGTACTGAAAAATTTTGTAATCAAAATTTCGTTCGCATAAAGGTAATTAATTTTTCAAATTCTATTTCCTCGCATTTTAGTTTTTGATTATTAATAAAAAAAATCTTGTATGATTGTTTTTATTTATAGGCTATGCAAGAAATACACAAATTAAGGGGACAGATTACAAACTTAGTTCAAACTAATTTTCCAGGCGTTAATGTTTATCTAGATCCAAAAATGAAACCTCCGTCATCTTTACAAGTATTTATCAAAAATCTTATTATTTATTTGTCGTTTGTTAAATTATTAATCTTCTTGGTTTCATTGATTTAGCTTAAAGCCATACGACAAATGATTACAGCAGGTTTCATTGATCAAGTTGCTGTTAGAAAAAATTTAATTGATAAATCAAGTGATAGATCCTCATCAAGAAAAGGAATCGTATACAGTACAATGTGGACAGACGATGATGTTTACATTCATCCTTCTTCTATCCTATATCATGCAAAACCTCCAGATTTTGTTGTTTACCAGGAATTACATTATACAAATAAAGTTTGGATGAAAGGAATAACTGTCATCGAAGCAAATTGGCTTTCTAAATTAGGAAAATCGTTATGTATTTTTTCAAAACCAAATGAAATTCAAAATAAAAAGTAAGAATATTCAAAATTTAAATAAATAAATATATATATAAATATATATATATATTATACATTAATATTAATTTTATTAATTTGTTATTTATTTAATAGTTTCAAGAAAAAAGATTCTGAAATGACAGCATATGTAACGCCGAATTTTGGACCAAAAAGTTGGGAACTTCCACCCATAAAAGCTAAAGCACAAAAAGTTGGTGGAAGATGGGTTTTTGGAAAAATTTGATAATTTAATATATATATTAATTTATGTATTTCAAAAAAAAATAAAATTAAGCTATATAAAAATTTTATTAGCAAAAGTTATTTATGCTACTCTGTTAATACAAGTTTTATATAATGTCGAAACATTTGTTGACCATTTATCAATTGCAGTATAACGTTGAGTATCGGATGATCTATCAATGCAAATGAATATACGCATACAGAGAATTAATTAACATATATATATATAATATAAATAAATAAACATATATAATATAAACATGTAGACATACTGTCTATATAATTCCAATCTCTGATTCACTTGATCTATTCTTCCAACAATTTTATTATCTAAAACAAGACCAACCAATAGATCTTCAACGTCTTGTGCTGGTATATTAAGTTGCTTTATTTATGAAAAATAATAAAAAATAAAATAGTACATTAATATTAAAAAAAATTTTTTTTATCAAATTAAAGAATAAAGAATAATACCTTTGATACAAATGGTATTTCTATTCTTGTGTATGGTTTTATAAGTCGAAGAAGTACTTGTGTTCGAATATTCTTAAGAACATCATCGATGTATGTACGTATAAAAGGATCATCCATAATTGTAGCACGGTTTTCTAGATGATGATAATAATATTGATTGAATGTTTAAGCGTTGTGAAAAAAATATTTAATTTGATTTTACAAATAATCACCTCTTAGGATTTTTTCAAATTCTCTAATTTCTTTGCGTTGATATGCAGTAACTAAATTAACCATTGCGACTATTTCATTTTTATGTTTATATCTAACATTATAAATTACCCAAAAAATTTTATGTTTAAATCAATGATGAATCCAAAACAAATAAATATTGTGCAAACTTACGGTTTTGTTTCTTGAGAATCAAATGGATCAATTTGAGACTCGTTTAACATATTCGCAAGTACCAAATATCTATGTAGTTTGTGAATAAGTAAAACAGTAAGGAAATAAAGTGCATCATAAAATTTGTCTAAAACCTACTAATCACAATTCATTCACTTACTTTAATACTTGTATACGTTGAGGACTTCCAGCTTCATCATAATTCTTGAAAGATTCAAAGAAGTCCGTTTGAGCTTTAAACCATTCCTCTGACAAAAAATTAGTTTCCAATTAACAAATTTTATATTATTATTATAAATTATTTTTATTTCATTAATAATAATCTACCGATTACTCACTCTCTCCCATATGCATTTTACCACCACATTCACGAATAACTCCCATTATACGTGGATGTGGAATGGCTGATTTAACATGAAGACATTGTTGATATAATGCCTAAAATAAATAAATAAAATTATTAGAAATTATTCAATGAATATAAAAAACAAAAACAAAAAAAAAATGATTTTAACGTAATGTATACTTTTAGTTTTTTATTATTTTTTGTTTCTGTATACATTTGAATTTCCAATGCAAAAATTTCCAACAAGTGTGTTCCTTTACGTTGATCATCAGTTCCGTCATCTTTTTGACAAGATGCATGAAGTTGTCGAAGTATCTTGATTTGATTTAAATTATAAAGAAAAGATAGATAAATAAATTATTACACCAATTAAAAGAAGTATCATTTAATTGTAAATATAGAATTAAATACCTTGTTTAATCTATTATATTCTTTACGATCAAGCCAAAGTTTTGCCAATTTTAGATTGGTTTTAACCCATAATCTCTATAATAATACTAATTATTATTATAAATATATATACATCACATAATCAATGTTTATATTTGTTATTTATCCACCTCATTCTTAGCTTCTTCCAATGCATTTAATGTTGTTGAATAAAATTCCTCCATAAAAGTCATATCTTGAGAGGATGAAATAAAATCCAGTATATTATTGATGCTCCTTTCACTGTAATTGCGCGTTACTGCTGATTTTGTGTATGAGAGCAATTGTTTATAATATTTGAGAGTCTAAAAGAAAAATGATTTTTAATTTGAATTCCTTTAGGTAAATATGATGTCAATTAGATAAAATCGACAAGTATTCATTATAAAACTTACCGATTCATAATCACCTGCTTTAAAAGATAATTTGGCCATTTGTTTCAAAGCTTTGAAACCCCTGAAATGTATGTATATATCGAAATAAATTAAACAATTTCTTTTTTATAAGATGGATTGAAATCTTTTTTCCAAGGCAAATATTTTCTTTTTACCAATCTCCTTTTTCTTGTTCGGTGTCTACAACACTTTGAAACTCTCTAATGGCACTTTCGGGATCGTCTTCCTTTCTTGCTATATTATTGATTATGCATGTAGTTCTTGTTATTTTACTTTACAAAAATAAATCATTTCATTTTTTATAAAACCAATTTAACCTTTTGCATTATAATATTTGTTTTCTAGATCTACATCTGGTTCTTCTTGTTCGTCATCTTCATAATCGAAATTATAATCCTCCTCGTCATCTTCCAACATAAAATCGTCATCGTTGTCTGACATGTCGTGATTTAATTTTAAATTTTTATGATCAAAGAAAAATTGCCCAAATAACTACGCCGTGTAACAAACGTTCTAAAATTTTGTTAAAGAAAAAATTATGTTACGTAATAAAATTTTAGTTATAGGACGTAGAGGAGTAGGAAAATTTTCAATAGTAAAACGTTAGTGAAGAAATAATATGATGATTTGCCTTTTTTTTAAAAAAAATTCAAAAAATAATATTATTAAATGATATTGTCATCAATTAGAAATATTATCAAAAACAAATCAAAAATTAGAAGAAGGAAAAATCATAGGCAATGATAATAATGATAATGATAACACCAAAGACGATTTTATAGATGATAACGACGATGATGATGGTGGTGATGATGATGAATATGATGAATTGAAGAATCATTCTGGAAAAAAGATTCCATGGAATATTGTGACAAAATATTATAAAGCAAGAGTATATTTTTGGATTGATGAGACAGTTGGACGTAATGATATTAATTGGGAGGTTGTTACAGGGTATTTGGATGAAGATAATGGCATTGGGGATGTTGTTGATGCTATCATTTTTGTATTTAGGAAAGACGAGGTGAAGATTTTCAAATATATAAAGTTGTTATTTTCAAATGTTTAGTTTTGCAATTCATTAATCCCATACTTACCAATATATATATAATTGTCTGAATAGCCTTCAACTTTTGAAGATATTCATACATTTTTACCTTTTATTAAAAGATATGAACCGGCAATAACATTAGCTGTTGGAACGGGAAGATCTAATGATGGTAATGATGATGATAATCATAAAGCAACAGATGAATCTCAACAACAACAAAATGATGATGATGATGATCATGATGATGATGATGATGATGGATATGAAAATTGGTGTTTAGAGAATGGATTTGAATATGTTGACTTGGAAGAAACTAAATCTCAAGATGGTTTGTTTGATAATGAATGAATGAATGAAGTGATACTTGATGCACTCAAATACATTAAATTGATTTAAATTTTATTTTAAATAGCGATAGAGCGTGTTGGAATAGATCGTATTCTAGAAGCACTTCAATCTCATATGTGGGAAGGTTTGACTAGGATAAATAATAATAATAATCAAATAAATCTCATAGAAGATGAGGATGATGACAATTATCACAAAGAACTTTACGAAGGTAGAAATAACTTATCTACTATAATATAATATAATAATATAATATAATATAATATAATATAATATAATATAATATAATTTATAATAAATCCATTTACAGCAATGTCGAACTTAAATTTTGAACAAAAAAATACAAATAAAGAAGGATTGATGTTATTAAAAAGTGACGACGAAGAAGAAGGAGAAGGAGAGTCGACACAAATTGAAGGCTCTGATGATGATGAATTTTATGGAGATTGTAATAATTTAATTTTATAATTAATAAAATTTATAATTGCAAAATAATGCTTGCATATATTAAAAATATATTATTTATTTATTTTCCAATCTAGCAATGGTAAATCAAGAAGAAGTAGAATTAATGTATGATCAAATATTTGGTGATTTTGAAGAAGAAGATGGATTGGACAAAGTATTATCAAAATTAAATAATCTAAGAGGTAAAAAAAAAAGTCTATATATATATATAATATATTGATAAAATTATATATATTGATAAAATTATTATTAAATTATTAATATTAGAAAAAGGTAAAATGCTACCAGATAATGAAAGAAGAAAGTTAGCAGCAAGCGTTGCATATTCATTTAGCAAACATATGGGCGAATAAATTTATGTTTATTTTATTTATTATTTATGTTATTATCATTGTAAAATTATTTAATGCTGATAGTGATAATATCTACTAACAGATTACAAAATTAATGTTAATATCTATACTAACAATAATAATGAACAATTATATTATGAATCATTAAGGAAATAATTCCTCGTCGCTTAAAATGACTTCTATATCATTAATTTCCATTGGAATGTAATAATAAATTTCATCGCCATTATTGGAAATTATAATTGTAACGATAAGTTTACTTATTAAATTTTTTAAAACAGCTTTAAAGTCGTCATTATTTCTGACGAGAAACTTGCCTCTACATTTATCGAAATAAATTGAATCTTCTAATCCTCTTTCTTCAATCTTTAAAGTTTTCGTTTTATTTACTTTAACTTGATTCTCTGCCAAAACTTTCCATATAATACGTTGATTATGACTCAATGAAGATAACATTTTTTTTGTCAGTTTGTTAGTTGCTGTTTCTTGTGTTGATTTCTTTTTCGAGCTGATTTCATACTTTGTTTCTTGAATGTATGGACTAAATGTAGTAATGTCATGCCACAACCAATTAAACATGAATGATCTATTTCTATCAAATAATAAAGTTGAATTAACATGATCTACTGACGCAACAACATAAATATTAGGGCATTGAGCTAGTATTCCAAGACAATTTAAAATTTTCTCGGATCGAAGGCTTTGACCATTAATATTGTGAATCACAATAAACAATTGTTTAGAACTTTCATCTAAAGATGTCAAGTGATCAACGATTAACCTTGCATTATCATTAAGTGACCCACACCTTTTTCTCTTCAATGAAAGCTCTGAAAATATTTGTTCGATAATTTTTTTAAACTCTAGATTTGGAACGAATCCATTGATAACTACTTGTAATTTATCACATGGTAAGCTTTTTACAAAATCTTCCATTATATGTATTTTTGAACCAAATCCATAGAATAAAAGATTAAATCCACACGTCAATTCGAAAAACCATTGATTGTATAATGTTTTATAGTCTTTATATATTTCTTGTGCGATCTCTTGATGTTGGCTAGAAGTGGAATTTATATCATCATTGTATCTATCTATATTAAAAAATCCACTGGGGAGAGTTCGTGAGGAGGTAAGTGATTTAACATGATGGTTCTGAAAATATCTTTCGTAATCATCTTTTATGAAAATTGGTATTTCTGACATGTTGATTTTAAAAAATTTTTTTAAAATTTTTTGACGCGTTTGAAATCTCTCAATTTACTAAATCACATGATTGAAGGTTAAAAGTCTTATCATTGGCTGTTTTGGTCGATCAAATGAGGGAGTATTTTAAGCGTAATAATTATTATTATCAGAAAATAACTTTCCTGATAAATTTATACAAAATTTATTAACGAATTGTTAGTCTTTTCAATAAAAAAACACAACCTAACCCAATTTCTATGTGCATGTGTAAATTTTTATAAAGGTCATTTTTAGCTGTAATAATGTTTTTCGATATTTTGATTTTTTTTTCAAAAACATATGGGGACTGGTCTAATAAAAGACGGTACCATCATCATTACAAAAGTATTCATTGAGGAAATTAACGTCAAAATTTTATACAGTGGTCATCAAGTTACGTTAATTTTACAAGAAAAATCACTTTATGGTCAATGGAATATTATATTTTAAAGATACAAAAATCTATTTTTCTACAATTTAAAAAATAAATTCCTCGTCATTATACATGGGGACGTAATTATTTCGGCACTACGGCGATGTGATGTTAATGTTAACGTTAAGTGTTGCCAAAAGAGGTTTAAACGGATATAAGTTCAATTTATAATAATAATAATAAAGAAAAGATGTTAAACCAATAAAAAAAAACCCCCAAATAACTAACTAAAAAAATCATGTCTCCCGTTTTTTATCTACATGTTCCATCAAGACCGTCCCTTCCACCGAAAATGTGATAAGTAGAAACGCTCTGTATAAATCAAGCTCAACCACATTCAGAGAAAAGTGGTTTTTAACGATTATAAAGTGGTAGACTTTGGGAAAGGCACATTGGTTTCTTTTGTAGATCAATACATGCACAAGATCAACATAGAATATGTATATAAATTAATAATAATAATAATAATTAATGATTTTTAATTAAAGTTTCGCAAAAAAATGCTCAAAAGATGTGGTATAAGTTATTTAGTGACAACATATGTAATGGAAACCATCGGAACAGTCACCAAAATTTGCGATGAAGAAATCGTCAAAGTGACCTTCCTCATCTTGACCAGTATCAGCAAAATCATTGTTCAGAAAGAAACACGTTATTTCGAAATTGATGGTAAGAGAGTATCATCCTACTGCACGTAACTTTGAATGTCGACGAGAACATATTTACTGAGGGACAAGTGTATGTTGTGATGAACCATTAGAAAAATAGCATATCCTTGATTTTTGACCACTCTCAGTTAAAGGTCTCTAAAGCAATACCAGAAGAATATAAGATCTTAGAAAGGTTAATGCTGAAAGTTACAAAATTTAACAAGGCGGTAAAAAAAAAATCCAAATTCTGTCTCTGGATTTAGCCATGTCTTGATTTACTGCATGAAAATTTGTATATGGTTTTGAATAATAATCTCTAATTTAATGTCAATAATAAATAAAAAATTATTTTTATTTACAAAAATGTCACCGGCTTTAAACTTTTTTTGACCACAGAATGCTGTGCCGAGTGTTTAATCCAAAAATAAAAATGATATTCTTTGAGGTCTCAATCTTATAGAATCACATGACTCAATCATTTATCGTTAGCTGTTAGTATTAATATTAGTATTAGTGTTAGTATTAGTGTTAAGATATAAATTTATTCGAATAATTTGTTTTGTTCGTTATAAATTGGAGTTTTCGAATTACATTTAAAGTTGATTCGAATAAACGAACAAACAAATAAAAACGAATGAAACGAGTAATTCGAATTAGAATAGACGAATAAATGAATGATGCGAATGATATGAAAAATTCAAATAAAACGAAACTATAATATTTGTTTGGAGCATCAAAATTAGCCAATCATATTGTTATTATTATTATTTAGTTTTAACGACAGTGACATTTTATTTTACATACGAATATACGAATTAACGAAAAGAAAGTTATATAGGAAAATAAAAACACAATTTTAAATGCACAATTCCTCCCCCCCCCCCCAATACTAAATGCATAATGACTAAAGAACTTAAAAGTTCAAATATTTTGTTTTTGTTCTATATTAATATTAATAGTTACGTGTTTCGGATATCTTTTCCTAAATAGGAAGGAACATCGTGTGCCACAATCTTGTATATAGTAAAATCGCTTTTTTTTCAATTTTATTAATAAAAAAAGCCTTTTTGATGTTTTTAGATGATCTGCACCACATTATTATGCAAGGGCTTTTTTTTTGATAAAGATCTAAAAAACCAATTAACCATCAGAACTTGAGCCATGGTTTTTTGAGTAATTGTCATGTATATATACGTCTTTTGGAATATATAATGCTGAACCTAGCGCCAAATTTTCAATGACATCGCAATATTATAGAATCACACGACTCATCATTCATATATTCGAAATACATTGAAAGTTTGTTCAAATAAACGAATAAAACAAATAAATGAATGAATAGGAATTGTAGAAACTAATATTCGTTCGGGAGGAACGTCAATCATATTATTATTTAAATTTTTTTTTTTGTTTTTTCTGTGTGGTGATGATCTTTTTTCAAATAAGAAGGATCATCTTTTACGCAACTTTTCTTTTATAAAATTGAAAAAACTCTATTTTTGCAATCTTTAGAGAGTTTTTTTAATTAAAAAAAAAGCCGAAATGGTTTTTGAAAAAGTCGACTTTGGCAAGCAATTTCAGATTTACAATATTCTTTATATCAATAGACATAAAAAACCACCCAGGTCGAGTTAAAGTGTTCGGCAACCAACAAAGTTAATTTCGACAACTATGAAAAACTATTTTGGCATTTCGGATTGGCGATGATCATTTATTAAGAGAGGCAATTTCGGCTAACGTACTTTATGCGCATTATATACATGTTGTCAAAATTAATTTGGCATTTGACTCAATTCCAAAATCTCAATTTTTAACTCAATTATTTATATGTTTTTTCATATTATTGATAAAAATAGCCTATGCCAAAATAAATCACATAGCCGTAACGCCGTAATGCACTGAATTACCATAATGTCGAATTGAGGGAATCATATTAGCCGATTTGTAATTCGTTATAAGTTTTTTTAATAAAATTTTTTGGCGGTTTTCTCTCTTTTTTTAAAAAAAATGGCTTTCGTATTAAATTGGTTTACTCAAAAGAGATGAAACAGATATGCTTATATAATTTTATTTGCTTATTAGACTCAAAATGGAAAAGGTAATTAATATGACACGATCGTGTCATTTTAATTATGCTGGCAAAAATCTATCCGATGAAGCTTTTAATTAAATAATGTAAGGCTATGCCAATTCTCTTAGCTTTGATTCAGAAATGTTTGTTGAAGGAGTAGAAGATATTGGTGATTTCTTTGAGGATTTAATTCCTGATGAAGAGGAAGAAAATTATTCGGATTTATTAGTAGGTAATTTAATTAGTATTACAATTTATTAAATAATGTGCCATAATAACAAATTCACTTTGAATTTCCGTAGCAAAACCGTAGCAGGATTAATTCGACAATTCGAAAATCCGGCATCACGTCGGTGTAATTCATTTCGACATGCAGCGACGTATTAATCACACCGCCCGCCGTGTTGGTTCGGATTCTAATTTACCTCCATACATAAGATTAGGTAGGGTAATGTGATAACCGAAAAACAAACAATCTAAATAAATTCTCCGTTAATTTATCAGTTACTCATTTTGTTACTGTTATGACTACAAATTGGGAATCATGTCTTTTCAGTTTATTTGTAGCTATAAATAAATAAATGAATTTCTCTATTATTAATGAATTTTTCCGCTATTTTGAAAATATAAATAAATGACCTTCTCCATTATTTCAGTTGAAATATTTTTCGTAAACTTTGCGCAGCATTTAATGTCTGTCACGAATTTTTTATTTTTTATTTTTTATTTTTTTATACATATAGATGGATGGATGAATTTAGTGGTGATGGAGAACCTGCCTCTTCACCATTGCTTATAAATTTATCATACAAAAGTTCAAAGTCACCAAATAATCCAACAAGTAAAAAAGGATTATATTAAAGTAAATATATGAGGCATCATTGCTAATAACGAGAATACAAATTAAACGAAGATAATTTAAGTATGAGCAGGAGAAGAAAAAAAAGACTTACATTGATAAATTGAAAATTAGAGTTTATATAATCTATAATTCTATATATATACAAAGTCTTGGATACGACGCATAAATTTGCCAATACCAACGTATGAAAATCATAATTATTCGTAGTACGAATGACGAAATCGATAATTGTGTTTTACTGAAGCTTAATTAAATGTTAATGTTTTATCTTATTATATGCTTATATATGTCTATATGTCTTATTCTTATATAATAGTCATCATTTGAAAAATGGGCCTAACTAATGCATTAGACGATTCAATTGATAAAAATTACAATAATGCTCGTATACCCCATCAAAGGAAGCTTGGACGCATGTGGGTAAAGTAATTGATCTAATGGGTTCGGAAGAAGAAAAAGAAGTGGAAGGTGGGAGGTTATTATTTCGATTTCTATTGCTATTGTTGTTACTACTATTATTTAGATTAACAAAATAGGTTTTAGTTGATACAATTTCGTCGAGACATTTTGAAGTAACAGTCGAAGTAGTTCCAAATTTTTCTAAAATCCATTGATAGATATTTAAATCAAAAGAAAAAAGCTTTAGGGACTCTAAATTTTCATCACTTTGATAAACAATTTTATCAGGGTTTTCTCCTATTTCATAATGTTTCAAAACTTTTAAAAAGGTATTTTCTCGATATTCTTCAGTTTGTTGATATAAAAAGTCTAGAACATCATTTTTTTTTAAGTTTCTTTCGGGCTTAAGGATTTCGAACAAACATTTCTCTAAAATGGTCGATTTTTCTTCCTTTCTAATAGCCTGAAAAGATTCTATAATTGTTTCGCCGATATCCTTCAATTTATTGTCAAATAAACTAATTATATCAACCATAACGGATTTTGTCAACTTGAATCCTAATTTAATAAAAACTTGTAATTTTTCAACGACAGTCTCTAATGTAGGTTTCTCGACAGTTTCTTCGAAAGAATTGGGCGGAAACAAAATAAGGAAATTCCCTTGTAAAACTAGATCGTTAAAATCGAAACTAATTAAATCATAACCTATTTTATTCCATAAAGATACCAAATATGGACATATTATAATTGCTCTGGATATTATGTTTAGAGCTTTGGCGTTCTCAAAGCCATCCGACACTATTTCTTTTAAAACTTGTTCAGACGGTGAGGATAACTGTGCTTGTTTTTTAATGAAATCGATAATATTTTTACACGAAGTTTTGGGTTTTCTTGGATTTGGGACGAATTTTTTGTTTAAGATCAAATCTTCAATTTCTGGCAAATTTTTATCTAGTACATTTTCTGCAACTTTTATTGCAAGATTTCCACCGGTTAAATAATGAAAGAACTCGAGATCATTGCTTCGCAAACAAAAATCTGGTCCGTTCCATCTACGATTTCCTTCATGTAATAGTTCAGCATAGACCTCTATTGGTAAGTCTGCGGCCCACAATTTTTTAAGACGTTTTCGTAAATCGTTGTCCCTTTCATAACTATTGTTATTGTTACCGGTATTAATAATATTATTACTACCGTTATTTTCTTTATTACTTATTCTCAATTTCAATAGTCTCAAATCATAACTTCCAAAACATTGGATAAGTTTTTGAAGAAAATAGCGAGAAAATATTGCACCATTTATCAATGCACTATTTACTATCTCCACTGTAATGAAATTTGGCCCAAGTGAAATTGCATGAAAAAGACAGTGCGCTTTTCCATATCGGTATAGTAACCAATGGGAACGGGCATATGGATCTGTAAAAACTTTTAAGAGTAGTTTGTTTGTTAATCCAAAGGACATTGGACATCGGATACGTTTAAAGATTTCAACCAAAATTTCATATGGGAGTTGATCCATTTTTTTAAAAAAACTTTACATATTAGACCTAGTTCTTTTATTGATTTAGAAACGATCAAAAAGGGCAATTTTTATTAATAATTCTGATTCCCGTTTTTGATCACATTTGAGGTTTGTGAAAATCAAATCTCAAGGTCACCTTAATCAAGATTATATCGTTATTATTATTTCTACATTTATTAAATTTATTATTGACGTTGAGTTCTAATATTTTATCGTGTTACATATTGTACATATTGTACATATTTGTTACACAATAAAATTTTCCTATTTTTTTCTTTTTTTTTGTAGCAATAATCTTCTAAGAATGTTTAGAACAATTAAAATTGAAATTGAAATTGAAACTGAAATTGAAATTGAAGCTGAAATTGAAATTGAAATTGAAATTGAAATTGAATAACATCATTATAACTTAATAAATACCATGAGAATATATCTTCAAACCCATGAAATTTTGAGTCATGATTTCTTGAAAGCCTTTTTTTTTTTTTTGAATGTTTACTTCAATCATTCATTCAACCATATAAATAAAATTCATTTAATTTTAGTAAACTAAATGACGTTTTATAGACAGCAGTTTCTATTATATTAATTATTTTTCCGACTAAATCGATCGGCAATTAATAAAAAAAAAAACTGGTTAATTGATAAACTGATAAACTTTAAACTGATCGATGTCTTTTATTTTTATCATTTATATATATTATTTTCCTAAAAAAATTAAAATAAACACCTAAAAAAGGTACTTCTCCACAATTTAAATGTTACATACATTAATTAATATAATTATTTTTGATTTTAACAATCAGAAAGACAATTTGGGCTGCATGTATTACTAACATGTAATGATAACGATTCCCGATTTTGACAAACCGATCCATACCTATCTTCCCTAATCACATTTAAATATCGAACAAGTTGTTCAACGACGCACATTGATAAACATGAAAAATCAATCGACATTACGATGTGGTCAAGGATATTACATCGAGCTCGTGGGAAAACTAATGTTTTATGTTCCTTACGCCGGGAAAACTAGTAGCAATTGTTCTATATATATATATATATTACACACTTGTTTAACCAACATAGAATGAGCGAGCGTATAGTTAATGTATTAAAAACATATGCAAACTATACATGTGTATATTATGTGGTAACCCTCTCTGTAATATGCATACGTAGAATATATATTAACATTAATGAGTTGCTATTTTTCTGGCTTTGATTAAAAGAACTTTGATAGTAAATTTGTGAAGCTTCGAGCCTTAATTTCTCCATGATAAATCGGGAGAAATTGGAGGGAGGATCTGCAAATGCCAATAAAGTTTCTGCGCGACTATGGCTTGCGCTGTATCATTTAAAATCGTTCTTTAGAATGTTTCATTTTAGGGAACTTTTCATTTACGATGATTTAATGATAAATATGATGGATGAACAAGGAAATAGATTTATAATTGAAATTCTTTGATACAAAAATTAATTCCGCGTATGTTACACACAAAGCCTTTCTACTATAGTTGGATTGATTAATTATTTGTTTTATAAATCAGGAAAGATTGTAACCTAGCATTGGGTTCCAGTCTCGTAAAACAAGCATGTAAAATGACGGCTATTTGGATTTCCATGTTTGTAAATTATTCATTCATATATTGACATGATGTCAAAGATCTTTTTTAATAGTAATTCGGAATAACCTAGCACCAATGCTGGGAAAAAGGATAATGCATAATTTATGCATTTGTATCTCATCTTATCTTATACGGAGATTATAAAGCTGCTAAAATTAAAGACTGTTTCTAAAACGGAAATTATAATAAACATTGATGGTGTGGTTGATATTAATATAGTACATTAGATCGGGTTCCCGCTATTTATTGGTTTATATTTATATATATTAATATTATTTATAATTAAAATTAATTTATAAATAGAAACTTGGAAACAATATCTAAAAAAATAATTAACCGGAAAATACGCGTTTATTTCTCGCGATCAATAGCATGCAAGGAATAAAAAACATAATTGTTGTTATACGTAAAGGGCAATTTCAATTCATCCTTATTTGTAGTGTTTATTGGAAGATTACACAGTAACAATAGTCTCTGCTGATTTTTTTATTAATCTATCTATGATTCAAGGTTTGAAATGTGGCACGATCTTTCTTTTGATTATATTTGAGAACAGGAGAAATGTGTATTATAATTATATGGCACGCAAGTTATTGATTCATGACATGATAATACTGACGAATCGTTTTGTGAAAACTTGGGCACATTCCTAAGATGTATTGATCGACATTTTTATATTAATATGATCTTGATAATTTTTATTGATATCGAGAAAAAAAACAATTATAATGTTGACATAATTGCCATAATTGTTATTACTAATTATGATATACTATTTATAATCGTGAACACGACTGGCTACCATGATTACGGAGATATAATCTCCTTATTTATCAATCAAATATTTGTTTGTTTTAATTTTCCGATAATTATTGTATAAACAAGTATACATACATGTTGATATCAATATTATTAATATGTAAACATGTGCGTCAAATTATTATTATTGTTGGAATTCCATTGTAAAATTTTAACAGCTATTATAATGAATATTTTGTCTATTATAACCTTCTAAGCTTGGGTTTTTTTTTACAAACGTCATTTCGAAATGCGATAAAAAAGTAATAACTTACTTGTGCTAACTACATGACGAAAATTTGCCCATATGTAGAATTACTAATTATTCGTCTCGATAACCATGACATTTGGGTCAATTTTCCCAAATAATAAATAACAACAACAAATTTGCTTTTCCTTCTTTTTTATCTTCACTAACATTTCTTCATCGCCCTCTTCGACATTAACGTCGCAAATGCCATTGTCATTGTCATCACTACCATTTGCATCTTCTTCTTCCTCCTCCTTCTGCTTCCTTTCTTTGGATGATTATATCGATCCAGAATGATGCTTAGCATGCTCAATGTGTTATACACTTAACCCAAGAAGTAGAATACTATATGAATATGATAGGAGCCGAGAATTATGATACCATTAATAAATTTGCTACAACGACGAATTTATTCCGCAAACAAGTGTCGTTGAAACTGCTATGGTTATATTTATATCAACAGCCAGATATTATAATACTAATCCTGAATGCTTTATTAATGGTGTTAGTATGGAACCATCAATTAATAATACCATCACTTCAAAAGTCAATCTCAAGTCAATCTCAAGTGAAGAAAATCAAATCAAATTGATGATTATAAATCCTCTTTGTTATTTTTGTTATTATTATTTATTATAATTTCCCGTTTTCTTCTATTTCCATTTCTTTTGGCTATCTAGACTTCGTCACTATATAATTTTTTTTGTATTTAGTTTTACACTATTAATGAAGTTGTTAATGGTTACCTACTGGCTTGAGGTATTAAATCCCATCTTTTATATATATGTATGCATGTTAAATGCTATAATATCAAGCTCTAAATCACAATTCATCAGAATATTCATCTTGTCAAAAGATTCGCATCAAAGAAACAAAGGAAATCCAACAATTTTCTACAAAATGTTGCATCATATTTAAACATTGAAGAAAACAAAAATAATTTTATTTCAGCACAAAACTAATTTCAATCTATCCTTGTTTTTATGCAATTATAACATTCAAAATATTTCATAACTTTGTCTGTTATTATTAATGAAAAACAAACAACATTTTTGTTATAATAATACAATAGATTATTTTATTAATGGAAAAAAAGTTTATATATACAAATTTTTTTTAAAAAAAATGGTAATGGTTATGACAAACCATCGTTTAGTATATTATTCACCTTGTAGTGGTAGTATCAGTATTAGCAGGTGGCGGTGGTGATTTTTTGTCTTTAGTAAAATAATCTTCATACGGATGTTTATCTGAAAAAGGTCTTTTGCCCAGTAAATTTATCATATCCTCTCTGTTCAATACCTCTTTTGATAATAATAACTGTGCAACCTTTTCAACATCATTCTTTCTCTCTGTCAACAGTTTAAGCGTTCTTTCATATGCCATTCCAACCAACTTTCTCGCCTCTTCATCAATCATTCTGGCTGTTGCTTCTGAATATGGTTTCTGAAATTGCGGCTCATTGTCACCAGCATTATAAAATGAAAGTGGTCCTATGTTTATATTCATTCCATATGCTGATATTTGTGCGTATGCCAATTTTGTAACCTTTTGTAAATCATCTTGAGCTCCTGTAGTCACTATATTAAAAAAGATTTGTTCGGACACACGTCCACCCAATGTCATACACATACGATCGAGCAATTGAGATGTTGAATAGAGGTACTGATCTTTTGGTAGATATTGTGCATACCCCAATGCGCCTATACCTCTCGGAATAATTGAAACTTTCAAAATTGGATCAGCATGCTCAAGAAACCATCCCGCAACTGCATGTCCTGCTTCATGGTATGCAACGGTTTTCTTTTCTTCTGGTGAGAGCACCCTTGATCTCTTTTCTAGCCCTGCAATAACACGCTCAATCGCTTGTTCAAAATGTTCTTCTTCCACCGACTCTTTAAAATACCTTGCCGCAATTAGCGCTGCTTCATTGCACACATTGGCTATATCTGCACCTGAAAATCCTGGTGTTAAACTGGCCAATCTATTTGATAAATGTTCCATGTCTTCATTAGTTTTTATAGGTTTCAAATGTACTTTAAATATGGCAGCTCTACCCTTAATATCTGGTTTATCAATTGCGATATGCCTGTCAAATCTTCCTGGTCTTAGTAATGCTGGATCTAACACGTCTGGTCTATTGGTGCCGGCTAAAACAACCACATGTTCGCTGGAACCAAACCCATCCATTTCCACCAATAACTGATTCAACGTACTTTCCCTTTCATCATTTCCACCAAATTGTCCAACCTTTCCCCTCGACTTACCTATTGCATCTATTTCATCCACAAATATTATACATGGTGCATTTTTTTTTGCTGTGGCAAATAAATCACGTACTCTGGATGGACCAACTCCAACAAACATTTCTACAAATTCTGATCCTGACACACTTAGGAATGGTACCTCGGCTTCTCCTGCAGTTGCCTTAGCAAGTAGTGTTTTACCTGTACCAGGTGGTCCACTCAATATTGCACCTTTTGGAATTTTAGCACCTAATTTCTCATACGCAGTTGGATCTTTTAAAAATTTTACAAATTCCATGATTTCTTCTTTTGCTTCATCCATACCTGCTACATCCTTGAACTTTACTTTGACATCTGCTTCTTGATTAAACAACTTTGCTTTAGATTTGCCGATTCCAAAAATTCCTTGAGATCCTGCTCCACCAGCAGCACGTCTTGAAAAATAATATAATGCTCCAATCAAGATCAAGGTTGGAGCAAATTGTAATAATGCACTAAGCATATTTATCTCGTCGTGGTATGCTACTGGAATTCTTTCGGTTGGCGGAATTCCCAATTCGTTTTGAGCAGTTTCCAACTTTCTTTCAAATTCCTCTACTGATCCAATACTGAAATAATATGTTATACCTGACGATAATGTGGGCGAGTTTGGATACATTTGACCTGTTACATTAGAATGCAAATATACTTTGACTTTTTTTTTATTTATCACAACCAATTTATCAACTAATCCTTTATCCAAAAATGCATTTCTAAATTCTTGCCATGTTATCTCACGTGAAATCTCATTGCCACCAAGGATTTTATAAAAAATGTAGGTTGTTATTAATAGAGGAAAGATGGCATTGAAATTGAATTGCGGCGTATTATTGAGTTCTCTTGGTTGTATTTTTGGATTTCTTTGTTGTTGTTGTTGTTGTTGTTGTTGATTTGATCTTTTTTTATTTTGTGTTTGATTGTTATTACTATTACTGTTTTTATTATTGTTGTTGCTGTTATTTACCCTAGGATTTTTTGAATCGCCTTTAACATTTTGTTTGTATTTTGGGTTGAAAAAGTTTTCAAACCCTTTTGGAATTCTGATGTTTTTAAGACTATTTTTATCATCTTTATTTCCATTATTATCGTTATCCTCGCTTGATTTATTATCATTGCTTTCTTTGTTTACAGGCTCTGCTGTAAAAAATCGATTTATTGAATTTTTCTCAAGTTTAAATAAATTTTTTCGTGTTGATAAATCCCTAATGTTAAAATTTGTCTGAACAGACAAGTTAATAATAGCTGGTCTAATTGTTGTTGTCTTGAGGTTTGATGTAAAATTTCTTCTAATAATGACCGAAGAAGTTTTTGTGAGAATAGTTTTAGTTTGCATTTTAAAAAAAGTTCTTTTGTATAAAGCAATGTAAATGTTATTGTAGATTGATATAAGGTATATATATATATATATACGTTTATCGTCTTACAACTATATTCATCATTCCTTCCAAGATTTCAAGATAAAATTTTTATTGATTTTATCAATAGAAAAATTATTGATACACCCCTCAAAATTTTTTGAAACTAGCGCTAAATTGGCACTAAAATAAATTAGGAGTTGTGGGGCCTCATCAATCAACCTTTAAAAAGTAGAGGGAGGACTCAAGAACCACACTATATTTTTTGAAAATTAACTTTATTGGTTGATAGACAAGGTCTCTCTCTCTATAGCTTTAATGTAATAAAGAATGTATATGTGTATGATAGCAATGCATAAAATGATGATATTTATTAAACGTAATAGAAACTCTGTCAAGAAATCATTACTTTCTCACCATATATATTTATTCATGTAATAAAATCAATATAGTAAGAAGCAAATTAGAAGCTGAAAATCCTCCAGGGTTGTGAATTTTTTATCAATTATCAATTATAAATATTGTTATCATTATTTGTGAGGAGTTGTTAGATGGGCATTTTGTTAAACCAACATCAAGCAACAAACTGAATGCTTGGTGGAACTTGTAACTATGAAGCTGTTTATGGGTTGGATAGGAAGCATGAGCTTATTCTATATATAAATATTATTCATTTGAAAAATGAAAATAAAATTTAATATAATGTTTTTTCTTCAATTTAAAACTAATAATTTCCATAAGTTGGGTGATTACAAAAATATTAATCAATCGCTTTTATTATGCTTTTTTCAAATACTATTATTATTAATTATTAAAATAAAAATAAAAATTGCTTGAATAATAAATAATTGTTGTGATAATACCATTACACGATTAAGATGACAAAATAAATTTAACGAAATCTAAAAAAAAAAAATATTTAAGGACGAGATTAAACTTAAATTCTTTTTTTTATTTTTTGCAAAATAATATTATTGTTCTTATTACCATCATATTTTATATTTCCATTTTTATCAACTTGGCTTATTTTCATCAATTCATCAACTTCTTCATTACTAAGCTTTTCTCCTAAATTACTCAAAACTTTTATCCAAAAATTGATATAAAGAATTAAAATGAGATCTATTTTTCCTCTTCTTCCCGAAAAAAAAAACAAAATAATAATATGATTCTTTACCATATCTCAATTCACCAGCTGATATATAACCAGTTCGATCTTTGTCAAATACTTGAAATCCTTCAATAAATTCTTCAAAAGTTCCAAGCGGTGCAAACCCATTTGGTCTTTCAAGAATTTCCATGAATTTATTAAAGTCAACTGAATTATTTTTTTGAAAAAACAATAATGTTATTTAGTTGTGTAAACTCTTTAAAAAAAAAACAAAAAAACCCTAATTTACTTCTTTCTCCTAAATCTTTAGAAAGCTCTGCAACTTCCGCTTGTGAAGGATTCTGTTTTAAAGCACGTAATAAGTTTCCTAAATCCTCTTTGGGAATTGTGTCATCTTTTTTATTATCAAATAATTTAAAGGCTTGGTGACATTCTATCATCGATATTATTACTATTCCATTAGTTAAAAATTCGAAATGTTATATTTATACATAAACCCCAAAGTAAAATTGTACCTTTTTTTTGTTCTTCAGACAACTTTAATTAAAAAATTATAACTTGGTTAAACCTTTATTACTCTTCTTATTGAATTAATAACAACAACAATAAACCTCTTACCATAATTAACTATTTATTATTATTACTAATTAAAAACTAGGCCTCTCAATTTTGAAAGTTTCACCCCCCATATCACAGTCGCAGGACATTGCAGATCAAATGTCATTCGTTATTATTATAACCGTTACACGAATAATAAAATTTTTAGGGCTTCCTAATGACTATTAAAATAGGAATCTAGCTTATTTATTTGTTATTCTAAGCCAGGCTGCAAGGGTTACTTTTTTTCACATTTACTTTAAGATTTTCTTCCAACTAACGCGCAGAATAAAGCAAACTCAACAGTAATAGTTGTGTCAAAGTGTTACCTACAAAATCGTTTATAATCACTCAGAAGGTTGCATGGAAAAATTTTGACTTTTATTATAAGAAATTGATTCATAATTCTTTATATGGTTATTATTTTTAGAAATCACATAAACCAAATTTCAAAAATAATATTAGTAATAATCCAAAATTTTATTATCTATTAATATGTAAAGAAAATATTATAAAGTTGAATTACGGTTTAACATAGCATGGAATACCTAAATGTAAATATATATATATATATATTAAAAAAAAGGATCAAAAAAAATTTTTTTACCAGAAGATTCAATGTCTACCATATTTTAAATTTAGGCATTCAAAAATAAAAATCGTAGTGTCTATGTAGAAGCTAAAAGTTTGGTTTTTTTACAGACAAGTTAAATCAACTGTTGATCGAGTACTGACCTTGCCCTACAAATCATTAACTAATAACACAACTTATTATCCTTACTTTGCATCAAAAACCAGTTCATAAAAATACAATATAGATACATGTGTAATATTTTTTTTTGTCTGACGAAATTGATAAAAATTGCATATTCGGATTTCATGTTACTTTTAAATTTATTTATTGATTTATTATAATTGTGATGAATTTGTTTTAATCTTTAAAATAAATAAAAAAATTAAATCTTTTCTCTTGCATTTGAATACTTTTAAACATAATTTCATGAAAAAAAAAGAGTAATGTTAAACCACACCCTTATTATATAAAAAACGTTTAAAAGCCCAAATTGCCAAAATAGTTTGAGCTTTGAGAAACAGTTTGGGCCAGGAACCTTACTTGATTTTCGGGTAAAGTGGGTGTCGGTAAAGTGACCCAGACCGTAAAATTAATTAATGACCGATTAATTCGGCTGCTTCATATCTTCACCATCTATCTATGGTACCTTTATCTCCCTCGCCATTATCAAAACTTGTAGGCCTTGAAAGCATTGATGACCACAGATTAATATACAACCAGTCACAATTCTTATTGTCACAGAAAGTATTAAGAATCTTCACAGTGGATAGCGGGTGAATCGCAATATATGATTCATTTACATTATTAATTGGTAAAAGATGTACAATAAAACTATTTATAGTAATTGCAGTAGTTGGAAATTTTTATCGAACGTGATCATACAAAACTTTAATATTTTTTTAAAAAATGACATTCATAAATTTATCAAGAACTCGATTTCCTCCATTAACTAGTATTAGACAAGGTTTATTGCCTTTGAGAGTTTCTAGTGTAAATACGTTTAGGTATACGATGATTTTTTGATGAATAATTTTTATTGAATTCATATAATGTATAGATGTATTTATGATAATAATAGAAACTTTGGTCAAACGATACCAAAATGTTATGCTTCATTCCTACCTTCTTTAAACACACTCACTGAAGAAGAAGAAATGCTTCGTGATTCAGGTAAATAAAAAAATAAATATTTTTAATGGTCAACGAAAATTCCTGAGCAAACATCAGATCAAAATTGATGATTAATGATTGATATAATAAAAACACGATCATTTTTTGAAGAATCTTGAAAAAAAATTTACCATTTCCAAATTGTTTAAATAATCCAAAAATATTTGATTAATTTATAATTACCAATAAATTGGGATCTCTCTGATGGGTTTTAGTCGCGCGATTTGCACAAGAGAAAATCTTGCCAAAAGTAAAAGAAATGGATGAAAAGGATACGATTGATCCATCAGTTTTTAGTGGTCTTTTTGAACAAGGAGTATGTTATCTTAGAATCGAACATTATCGTTACTATTAAAACACTTTTTTTTATTTTAAATAACAAAAAAAATTATTAATATTAATAAAATATGTTTAGCTTATGGGAATTGAAACAGAATCTAGATATGGTGGTGCCGAGTGTTCCCTTTTAGCTGCTGTCTTGGTTATTGAAGGTTATTATTATAATTATAAATATTATTGATTATTAATGTCATTTCTATTAAAATTACAAATTACAAGTTAATAATCCAATTATTGACTTATAGAATTGGCTAAAGTTGATCCTTCTGTCAGTGTAGCTTGTGAAACTCAGGTTATTTAGATAAATTATTTCAAAATTAATCAACAACCATTGCTGTTGTAATTAACGTGATGAGTATTATTTTATTTATTTATTTAGAATACACTTGTCAACACATTATTTCATAAATATGCCAACGAAAACTTAAAAGCAAAATACTTACCACAACTTGCAACTGAAAAGGTACTTTTACCAATAGAGATAATGATTAAATGAATTAAATAAAAAATTCATTTATTTTCTTTCCAAAAAAAAAAATTTTTTATTATTGAAAGGTTGGATCTTTCTGTCTTTCAGAATCTAGTGCTGGTAGTGATGCATTTGCTATGAAAACGCGTGCTGAGAAAAAGGATGGGTACTATATTCTTAATGGATCAAAAATGTGGATTACAAATTCAAATGAGGCTGAAATATTTTTAGTTTTTGCAAATTTAGGTGAATAATATATATAATATATTTTAATAATTAGCTCTAATTTATATTTATTATTTAAAATATTTTGAATTTTTTTTTTTTACAAAAATGAAAACTCGAGATCCATCCAAGGGTTATAAAGGCATAACCTGTTTTGTTGTAGAAAAAGAAATGGGTGTTAAAATTGCAAAGAAAGAATCTAAAGTTTGTGTTATTTAATTTCTCATTACATTTGTATATTTTATTAAAACATATTATCATAAATTTTTTTGTAGCTTGGCATTAGAGCCTCTTCAACTTGTACAGTAAATTTTGATGGAGTCAAGGTATTGAACATATGTTAGGTGATTTATAATTTATTATGTACGTTGTATATATATGATATATATATTATTAGGTTCCTGAAGAAAATGTATTAGGTGAAATAGGAAAAGGTGTGTATAATATACAGATAAATAAATGTGCATGTGCATATATGATGTGATGTGAATATTAAATATAATAATTTATTATTATTATAATAAATATTCAAGGTTATAAATATGCTATTGAGATATTGAATGAAGGACGTATTGGAATAGCAGCTCAAATGATAGGACTTGCACAAGGAGCATATGATCATGCATTACCTTATTTATTCCAAAGGGAACAATTTGGTCAATTTATTGGTGACTTTCAGGTAAAAAATACAGATAAAATTTTTTTTTTGATGTTAATAAATCACTATTGAAAATGTATATACTCTCTCTCTTGATCTTTAATAGGGAATGCAACTGCAATATGCACAAAGTTAGTATTACTTATCAAACATAACAATGACAATCTATCATTATTTAAATTATATAATTTTGTTATTAATTATAATGATATGCTGCATATACATATTTTTCATCTAGTTGCAACTGAAATTGAAGCCGCCAGGTTATTGACATATAATGCAGCTAGAATTAAACAAGAAGGAAAAAGCTTTATTAAAGAAGCTGCAATGGCTAAATTATATTCTTCTCAAATAGCAGAAAAGGTTTATATTTAAATGAAATTGTTTAATCTTTTATTATGGTGATGTCATGATAATATTATTTATGTTGATCAGGCTGCATCTAAATGTATCGAGTGGATGGGTGGTGTCGGATTTACTACAGAATTTCCAGGTAATTCAAGAAAAAAAATTTTTTTGTTAAATGTAATAAAAAATTATTTAAACAATTTTTTTCTTTATATATTATATATACTTATAGTCGAGAAGTATTACAGGGATGCAAAAATAGGTAAACACACAATATTTATTATTTTAATCATTCAATCATTCAATCATTTATTTATGTTAAACATTTGTTTTTAAAAGGTGCAATTTATGAGGGAACCTCAAACATTCAATTAATTACAATTGCTAAAGAAATTAAAAAAAAATATGCATCATAAAAGTATAATAAATTATTATTATAAATGTTTTTAATAAATGATAGGTATCCAGCTAATACTTTATTATTTTCTGTTTCTTAAATCTTTTTTCCATTTCCAAAATTGTTTCAACATTTCTTTTTCTTTCATATTCATCTTTAATATTAATAGAATAATAAATTTAGACAAATATATTTTTATGTATGTATATTCACTCTTATTTTTTCCAATTTAAAATAATATTTACCATTAAATAATCATCATCACTTTCATGATCATAACCAAGCAAATGTAGTACACCATGTACATATAACTCTATCAATCTCTTTTCAATATTAAGACATCTTTTAGTTTTCTTAAATGAATGACAAGTAGTATAATATTTATTATTTCTTTTACACCAATTGATTACATATGGTATTGAAATAATTAAATCTCCCAGATTTTGATGTTCTGGTGTCAATGGTTTGGGTAAGTTTCCTGGTGAAATTGCCTAAATTAATTAGTTATTTATTTGATTTGTTATTTAATTATGGTGACTTTATTTCTACTGTTAAAAAAAAAATTACATTTTTAGATCAAACCTCATGTAAAGGAAATGATAAAATATCAGTTGATTGATTTTTATTCCTATATTTGAAATTTAATTTTTTGATATATTTATTATTTGTGAAAGTTACTCCTAAATCCCAATTAGAATAATTGGTAAATGATAAAATTTTCATCAACTTGATTGTTACTAGTTTCTTTGAAAGCTTTATATAAGGTTGTGAATTATTTATTATGACTGACATGATTATGATAATAATGACGATTAATATGACAATTTACATGATAAAACGTTATATTGGAGCGCACCAAAGATATAAGATACTATTGTTCTTATCAACTCCACTTTAATAAAGGCATTTATTAAAGTGATGAACAATTTATGTGTTTCTATTATTTCCATAATAAGCTATGATCTACATGTCAACTGCAAATTTTCTTAAATGCACAATGCTTTATTTTTAGTAACAAGTCTAATAAAACCTGGTACACAAATAAACCAGGGACAATAGATTGGGAAAACACATGGCACAACATATTTAATAGCAAGAAATTTACAAAAAGTAATAGAATTTTTAATTCAGTATATGATAGAAGCTACAAAATCAAATTATTAATGAACAAACTTCCAGTGCTTGAAACACTACACAAGAGAAATCCAAAACTATACACAGACAGTATGTGCCCTAGGTGCCTAGAAAGTAAAGAAGACCAAATACACATTTGGACTTGTAGTGCAAACAAAACTTCTGTGATGAAAATAAGTTGCTTTGTAATACATTTAATGAATGTTAAAAAAAACTCAAAAAAAAAGGAAAATGTAGTAACAATAATAAAGAAACAATAAATTATCAAGCCCTCAAAACAAGATTATTAAATCTGCCATATTTTAATCATAACAATGAAGCATGTACACTTGTGCTGCTGAGAGGATTTATACCAAGTGAAATTCAAACATGCTTAGAAGAACAGAAAATACCCAAAAACAAAATAAGCAAATTAACAAGAAGCTTATGTAAAAAGATAGTGGAAAAATCCAAAGAAAAGATATGGAAAGTGAGGTGTGATAGTATCATACAATGGGAAAAAGAAACAGGAATTACAATGGAGCAGAAAGTGGAAAGGTTTAACAGTAATAATAATAATAATAACAGTAGAAATAGTAGTAATAATAGATACAATAATGAGGATAAAACAACAACACTAATAATAATACTAGTAATAGGAGTAGGAACTTTAGTAATAGTAGCAATAGAAATAGAAGTGAAATTGTAACAAATTATTATGTAAACATATGTACTGAAAACCTAATTTTATTTAATAAAAGAGTGGAATTGAGCTATGGCGATGCCATGGATCAGTAGGTCTGGACCGCCATATCCATTCAAGGTGGCAGGTCACAGTTTTGGGTAGTGGGTCACACCACTATCCATGACTGAATCAAACATTGTACGATTAACCCGTTCCAAGAATGACATGATCATCATAAAATGTTTGGTCAGACCTCACTCAGCATAAAAAAAAAAAAAAAAAAAAAGATCCTGATAAAATTCACACATTTGAATATATAAAATAATTAGAAGAATACTTTATCTTCATTAAGAATATTGTTAAATGTAAGAAACAATAAATTTATTTTCTTATTCATATTCATTCTTTTGAGACCATGATAGCTATTGACTTTATTTATTTTTACTGTATTTATTTATATCCAGAAAAAAAATATGACGATAATTATAAATTAATAAATCAATATCAACAAGTTTTCCTCTATCATATGTAACAATTACTTTATGATTTTAGTAAGATGAATGACAGACAGGTTAATAAACCATCACAGGTCAAAAAGTGACAAAATAGCTATACTCAAAACTAAAAAATATCGAGACTGTAAAGTTTATGTCTGCGACCAAGAAACCGCAATATTCGGGATGTTGCAACCTAAGTTGCAATCGGTTGCAGGCATCAATTTTAGAGACGTGGTGTAGTTTTAAATGTTAGGCTTTAATAATCCGGGCGTACATTTTTCTGGTAACTTTATGATTATAATTTGAAGCTATTGATTATTTTTGGTAGGCTTGTAAAACAGTTAATACATATTCGCCAAGTTTTTCTTCATATATTTGTTTTATTAAAAAAAAAAAGGTTTATAAATAGAAAATAATATATATATTAATAGAAAAAACAAAGATCATTAACACCCACGAAGTTACATATTAATTAAATCTAGCACAAAAAGAAATCCTTCATCTATATGTTTATTGTATTGATCCAGGTTTAAGATAAACATGGGCTATACGATTATTACCATTACGAATACCCTTACTACGGTAATTACTATCACTATCATAATAGCCTTTATCTATATATCCCGGAGCATTTTTAAATAAACTGAATCTTTCAAAATTTATACTTAAATTCTTGTTAACAATAATTTTGGGAATTTTTGGTAATTTAACTGATGGATTATCATTATCTTCGCCATTATTCTTATCCCTATTATAAGCATCTTCGTTACCGTAATAAATACTATTAATAATGTCAAAGTAATTACTTTTACTATAATAAAGACTTTCTTTGTCACTATAAAGATAACGTGAATGATTGGGAGCATCATGTTCACTATGTTCACTATATTCGCTGTATTCACTATATTCACTATATTCACTGTATTCACTATATTCGCTATATTCGCTGTACTCACTATATTCATCGTACTCACTATATTCATCAGGTTCTTTATTTCCATTTCTATTATTATTATTATTATTATCATCATTAGTATAATTAGTTTGTAATGGTTGTAGTTGTGCTTGTGACGGTATTAATGAATTTGGAATTCGGGAATCGAATGAAACAATTTGTAAATTGGGCGAAGAGGAAGAATTAGGAATGGCAGTTGTATTTTTTCTTATCTTTTCATCTTCAATATAACTATAACCGTTGCTAGTATCACTGTATACATCACTATTTGTTGTTACAATACTATAACTATATATGCTACTACTTGTTTCTGCAGCACTGTCATTATACATACTGCTAGCACTGTACTCCCCAACACTATTACCATCAGTATTTTGTTTAAGGGTTAAAACTTTATCATTTTTGTTGTTGTTATTGTTCAGATTACTGGTCCAAGAAATAAGTTTTGAAGCAAATTTTTTACTACGAGTAGATTTTTCATAATTTGAATATGGTGATGGCGATGAAGAAGGGAACGTTTTAAAAGAATCGGATATTGATGAATTTTTAGGTCTTATTATAGTTGGCATTGGCGTTTGCAATGATGATGATGGTTCATTATTTGACAAATATGATTTTGAGTGATTGTTATAAGGATCACTTTTAAGTTTAGAAGGTTTTGGTTTAATATTGACGAGAAGAAATTCATTATCATTCTTAATCTTATTGTCATTTTCATTATTACAATTACTATTAGTGTCGTTGTTGCAATTGTAATAATCTTCTACTTGTTTACCTTTCTCACTATAATTGATATTATTATAATAACCATCAAAACAGTTATCATTAATATCATTACCATTAGTATGGTAATCATTTAAACTGATAACTACAGTTTGAGAAGAGTTTTGATTTGATGGTCCAGAATAAATTTTATTTATTAATGGAGTTTCCTTCTTCTTATAATAATTATTATTTGCCTCATTGCCGGGTGATGTTGTTGATGAAGTATAGTTTAAAGATTTTATCGATGAAAATGTTTTTGTTTGTGTTGGCTTCATTAAGTTTGTCGGAGAAGGTTGCGAGGAAGAAGAAGAAGAGAGGGTTTCAGATGGGTCAAATGTTATTATTTTGTCATCATGCAGACTATTGCAATAATTACGTATGTATGAATGTGTATTTGGAACATAGACTGTTGGTAATTTTGTGATTTCATTTTCGTTATCAATTGATCGTTGTTGATTAGTTTCGTCGAAATTTTGATAATTTATGAATTTTGATTGCTGGGAAATGTTGTTGTTGTTATCATTATTTTTAGTGTTGCTGCGGTGAATATTTGATGTTGAATCATCATCATCATGGTGATTCTGATGATTTTTCTTTTCATCATCAATATCATCATCATCATCTTTATAATTATTAAAATCATCGCTGTCGTTGTTATTGCTATCATATCTAATTTTAAGATGTTGTTTGAAATGACGATGCTTTTTATGATAAATAGCTCCAATACCAATTGATAATAATGATAAACCTATTATTACTCCAATAACTAGACCAAAAGATGCAATGCTATTATTATCTTGTAATCCATTAACTGTGTCATCATAATTGACAAAATATTGGAATGTCATTGTTGTTGTTGTTGTTGTTGTTGTTGTTGTTGTTGTTGTGGGTTGAACCGACTGCGATGTTATAAATCCGGCAATAGAAGGTCTGGGGTATTGTTTAATAGAGGGCGATGAAAATGAAGAATGAATTTCTTTATTTTTTTCACTTTTATTTTCATGTTCTTTTTCAACCTTTTTTAAAATTTTTAATAGTTTTTTCGATTCTTTACGAAGTTTATTTGTCATCTTTACTATTTATTTATTTATTTTTTTTTTTAAAGAAAAAGATTTATTAATGGAAATCATGTAATGGTAGTTTGCGTGAAAGTGTTGTAGGGTGGATGATCGGTGGTGGAGGATTGATTTTAAAGGAAATAATGTTGAATTAGAGAAGGAGAAAGAGAGAATGAATTTAAAGAGTAGTTTGTTGATTTTGATTTTGATTTTGATTTATGAGAAAGTAAACTTTTACTATACGATAAGAAGAGAAAGAAAAAAGAAAACAGAGAAAATTTTATTTTATTTATATATTTATTGTCAAGAAAAAATTTTTTTTCTTGTTTTATTTTTCTCTATTCCTTTCTTCTTTTTTCAAAATTAACTAATAATTATAGTAATAATAAATTTGTGAGAAAATTATTAAAATTTGTATCCTCGGTAATTAATTATAATTGATTGATATGACCATCTATGAGTTAATGGATTAATTATAAATGAAGAGTTAATGTAATATATGTATGAATTCAAAAATTACAAAATCAATAAAATCTTAATTTCATAACAACAACATTGGTAGTATTGGTATTGTATTATTATTATTAACGGAAGTGTCTATTTTCTTCTTCTACGTTACTATCACTATAGTTTTGTAGTGTGGCGCAGTATTAAGATGAAAATTAAAAAAATAATAATAAATGAGAAAAAAAGATTAATTGATTGATTGGCTGACTGGTTTTGGTTAAAAATTTAACTCGACAAAATTTCTCTTGACATTAATTCGAGGAGTTTCTAAACGTTATACGTGAGAAAAGTTTACTTGATATTTAGCTGTCGATCGATTCGTTTAAAATGTAATAATGACCGTGATCAAAAATTCTTTGATTTCTATTTTGTTACGTGTCAAAAGCCAATATTAATATTATTATTTTCGCAAGAAGAAGAAGAAGAAGAAGAAGAAGAAGAAGAAGAAGAAGAAGAAGAAGAAAGTTGGATTGATTAAATAATTCATATTGTTGCCGCCGACAATGATAGTCGTGGTAATATTGGTCGATGATTTGAAATATACGATTGTTTTATGGCAATGGTAAAAGTAAGTGGAGGACACTGTCATATTTAAAACATATTTAAAAAAAGAACGGGTTTTAATTAAGGCCAAGCACTTATAACAATAATCTTTCAATACTCTAATGAGATATTTCTACAAATTATCATCATCGCCACCAAAAAGAATATACGGTAGATTTAATGTTGTGATACAAGCTAGAGCTCTTCTTCTCGTCGTGAGAGGTATGGTTTGAACTTTGAACTCAAGATTTTTAAAAATTATGATTCATTTGAAAGATATAATTACTTCTTCAACTTTGGATGTTTCCTTTCCTAAGGAAGGTTCTTTGTAAATTTTTGTATAATATTAAAAAATATAAAATTATTACTGATAATAATTATTGTTATAGATTTATTTATAAAGATCTTTATAATAAAAATGGCAATAAAGTACAAGTCCAAACTTTTCTTTCTTTTCTCCAAATGTAAATATATTTTGTGTAACCATATTTTTTCCTCTTCAAATAATTCCCATTTCGGATACATCAAATACTTCCTACCAAGGAATATATATTTATATTAGTATGGTATTCTTAAATCACATTATATTTGTACCCGTCAGCATCATCAAGCATTTAAAATCATTGCCATTTTTAAATGGCCAAACTTTAAACCTGCATTAGAAATTTTCAAATTATCGTTTTATTTTAATATTTTGTTTGGAAATAAAATTACACATGGATACAGAGGCATGTTGAAGTTTAACAATTGGGATACGTACGCAGATGCTTCCCTGAAATAATTTTCTATTGTGCATAGCAAGCGATAAATCGAGAGTTGTGATGCGCATATTATATAACATGGCTGTGTATAATTTCCAAAAAACTCTAATAAGAAAATCAAATTCGTTAACACTAAGCCACCATAAAATTGCCTAAATTATAAGTCACCGATACTTTTCTGTGCAATTCGGGCTTTAAAAAATATCTCTCTCTAGAAAAAAATAAATTTTAATTTCCATCTTGCTAATATTTTAAAAATAATGATGATAAATTTAATAAAAAGACAAGTTAACTCCACTGTTGATAATTTCATCAATGGTACGCTTACTAGTGATATACAAACAATTCAAAATGGTATACTGTTTAAAACAATAGGAATATCGTTGGCAGTTTCTAGTGGTAAGTTAGTTTTATTGATAATTGTGTACAAAGAGAGAAAAAAAAACATGTCATTATTTAAATTTTTTAAAACATGTTTTTCTTTTTAAAAGGAATATTTATTGGCGCATCTTTTGTATTAAAGAAAAAGGGACACTTGGAAGCAAATAAACTTGGTAAATAATTAGACAGACATATCTTTATTATTTATGCATCATAAAACAATAACCAATGATCTGCAAAATGAAAAAATTTAGTACAAGGAAAAGCTGCTGGAGAAGGACACGCGTACCTTTTGAATAGATTATGGTGGATTGGAATGATATTAAGTAATGATGATAATAATATTATTATTGTTGGTTGTTATTAATGACATTGATTACATTAATTAATAATTTATCAATTGAATGATTAGTGGCTATTGGCGAATTATGCAATTTTGTTGCTTATGTATTTACACAAGCAATTTTAATAACTCCTTTAGGTGCATTAAGCGTCGTAATTAGGTATATATATATTATATATACATATATCTACAAGTTTTGTGTGTATTTTTCTTTTATTGTATCACGTGATTTTACAAAAAAAAATTTTTTTTTTTAGTGCAATATTATCATCAATATTTCTCAAGGAAACTTTAAATCTACAAGGAAGCATAGGATGTACTTTATGTATTATTGGTGCAACCATTATCGTAATGTATGCACCCGTTCAACATATCGCGTCTTCAATTGAGGAATTTAGAGAGTTGTTTTTTTCTCCTGGTAAATATATATATATATAAATTAAATAAATTATTATTATTAAAATAATTTAATTTAATATTTTAAATAATATTTTAAATCAAATAAAATTTTTTTAAATATAATGATGGTAAAAAAAAGTATTTTTAGGATATACAATTTTTTGCATAGTATTTTCAATTGCAATAATTTGGTTTTTGGGACCAAGATATGGTGCAAAAAATATGGTGATTTATATAGGAGTTTGTTCATTGATCGGATCACTTTCAGTAGTTACAACTCAAGGACTTGGAATAGCAATACTTAGGACAATTCAAGGCGAGAATCAATTTACACATTGGTTTTTATATTTTCTAATGGCATTTATTGCAACAACGGGACTGGTTGAAATTAATTATTTAAACAAAGCATTAAATATTTTCAATACATCAATGGTAACGCCGGTATATTATGTGATATTTACTAGTTTGACAATATTATCATCATCAATTCTTTTCCAAGGATTTAAAGCACCACCCGAAGCATTTGTAACAATGATTTTGGGATTTTTAATAATATGTACTGGCATCATATTATTACAAACATCAAGAAAAGTCACGAATGATAAAGGTATAACAAGTTCAACGAAATCTTTATTAGATACTGATGATGATAATCAGAATCCTGGTGCATCGGAAATTAGAGCAAGTTTCGCTGGTATACGTAGATATTCACAGATTTATAATAGATCAATCAATATTAAAGATCTCGAGAAAGTTGATAATAATAATAATGTTGATAATGACAATAACGATACTGTTCGGGAAATTGAAAAACATACAGACAATCAACAAGAACAAAAACAGCAAGAACAAGAAGAAGAACAAAAACAGGTGCAACAGAAACAAAAAGATCAAACACAAAAAATAGGACTTGAATCGCAGACAGAACCATCATCACAGTCACCTAAAAGATCTGATAGTGCATCAAAATTTCTTGAAGATTTTTCATTTGATCAAAATAATCAAAATATTGTTGTCGGCAAAGATCATAAATCAACTGGAAACAATAGAAAATCACAAGACTCTATTAATACTTTTGATCAAAGGAAATTAAAAATTAAAAATCCTGATAATGATGATTTAGAAGGGTTGATACCTCATCAATAACGTCTTTTGCAATTTTTATTTTAATTATTTTAATTATGATAATATACATTAAATTTCGCTGTATATAAAGAATTTAATAGACTTGCTGTTTGCTTGTTACTTTTCGATTTGGCTTATTATTTAAATCAATTGATTTTGATTAAAAGAAAAAATTTCTTTTGTTTTTTCCGTTAACTTTTGTTCATGCTTCATAAGTTCTTTAAATTTATTGACGCTTCGTATGTATATGTATAGGAATGAATCGTTAATACACATGAATTATCTTTAATATACTTGTAAAATTACAACCCATGCTGTATTTTCTCTTTATTATAATAGGTGGGTTTAATAAATTAACAATATTATGTATAATTCATAGAGATCAAAAAGATTTTTTAATTTCGCTTTTCAATTTTATTTTATTTTATTTCACTATCATATTATTGTTATTGTTAATTTCAATAGGTGTTTATTTTTTTAGTAACAAATATCTTTCAAATAATTTTTGCAGACTTTTGATTTTGTCAAATTGAATAAAAGAGCAAAAAAATAGTCAGTCTTGTATGAATAAATGCTGCGGGTAAAATAGATCTTGTTTATTGTGCTGTATTCACGTGATAGGAGTTGATATAAGGTTTGACTCGCGCTGCGATTGGCTGATTAGTTCAAGATCACCTGATGTTGCAGATGAATAATTGACCAATACCGCAATAATAAAGATTCAAACATTATTATTTTATATATAGATGATAATCAGTTGTTATTAAAATTAATTAAAAAAAAAAAGAGCTATTTATTATTATTGCAAAAATGGATATAAATGAAAATTTAGAAGCACAACTGAAAAAGGAAGAAGCAATAGGAAATTTAATAAAATTGGTAGTCGTGTAATTAATTTTTTGTTTAATTATATTCATGTTTATACGCACACTAATTCAAAAGTCACTTTTTTTTGTCAATGACACTAAGGACTTTCCATTGTATGTCAATTCTATTAAACTTGATGGAGTAAAAAAAACACGTAGAAATTTCTTGGAACAAATCTTTAATCCTATACTTAAAGCTAGAACACTTGGTTCAATTATTGATGAAATTCAAATATCCATTGATAAATTGTACCGTCTTGACATTTTCGAGAATTTTGATATATTACTTGACACTAGTAACAACCAATTGACTCAGATAGATGTAATTGATGTTTTATTGTCGGTGGAGGAAAAGAAGAGGTTTTTTATGAAAACTGGCACAGAGATTGGAAACGATTCTGGAAGTGCGGTAAACTTTTTTTTGACGACAAATTGTTTATTATAATGATGATAAAATTTAGCATATGATTAAAGAAGCTTCATTTTTCTAAATTTCGTAGAATTTGTCATTGAATGTACGTAATCTTTTCGGTGGTGCAGAAACATTGGAAGCCTATATGGCAACTAGCACTCAAACTTCGCGCATATTCCAGGTAAAGACCTCATTCATAAAAAAAATTTTTATAATAAAATAAAATAAAAGTTACAAGTATTATATTCGTATTATATAATTTTTACATATTATTTAGTTTTGTTTAGCAACACCAATTAATGGAAATCCAGATTCCAAAATTGACATTTCAGCTTTTAGAATGACAAAAAGTAATCAGTTGTACAGTTCTCATGATGAAATCTTAAAAGGTTCTGCATTAAGATGGAGAGTAAGTTTATCGTAATCCTTCAGTCTTAAATATAATAAATTTTATATGTTGTTTTTGATAATAATAATATCCGGTCTTTTGTTATATTAATTTTTAGGGAATATCAAAATTAGGATTTCACGAATTGAATTATGGTCTTATTTGGAGGCAAATTTGCAATATTAATAATGATGCGACTCTAAGGTATTTGATTTATTATCAAGATCTTTCATGCATTTGCTCTAATTAAATTAATTGTTTTAATGTTTATAGTATACGTGAATCTGCAGGTCATTCATTAAAATCATCCATAAGTCATACTTTTATTTATGATAAGCGCGATGATATAATATTACCATCCAGTGGTTATTACTTCAAATTATTTCAGGTATTTCTATATTGACTAATAAAATAAAATAAAATAAAATACAAAGTTGCTTGATAATCTTTATATATATACATGTATTATAGGAAGTTGCTGGATTTGGAGGAGATGTAAACTTTATTAAAAATGAAATAGAAAATCAAATCAATTATCCACTCGGTGAAGGCTTTGTATGGTTTATATGACAATTTTATTTATCATTTAATAAATAAAATAATGAATTTTTTTTTTTGATAAAATTTTAGATTTTTAGTGCCTCATTAAGAAATGGAATTTTGTATCCATTAAAAGACAAATCAAATATTAGTGATAGATTTTTCCTTGGGGGTGCTCAATCTGTAAGAGGATTTAAATTAAATGGCCTTGGTCCAAGGGAAGATAAAAGTATGAAATAATTAACCTACAAAAGTTGCATTAATTTATTTAAATTGATAAATAAATTGATTGATTGACAATCTGATTTGATATTTTAGAGGATTCTTTAGGTGGTGATATTTATTTAGCAGGTGGGATTAGTTTATTCACACCATTACCAAAATTAAAGAAATATCCTGTTAAAGGTCATTTATTTATAAATGGAGGTAGTTTAATAGAATTTGATTCTCGTAAGTAAATATGCTCATATCCTTTAGTATAAAGAAATATTTGTTTATAATTTATTTATTGTATAAAAATTTTTTTTAGGTAGAAATTTCCTTAATAATTTCAAAAATCTGACAAAAACACCTAGTATATCTGCCGGCATAGGTATTGCATACAAAAGTAGCATTTTAAGATTTGAAATAAATTTTTGTTTGCCATTAATTGCAACAGCCTCTGATAAATTAAAAAGATTCCAGCTAGGTTTAGGAATAAATTTCTGGTGAAAAGCTGAAAATAAATAAATTTAATAAAACAAGATGGCCCTGATAATCAGCTGTTCTATAAAGGGCTACAGTGTGCGGCACAATAGTTACAGTGTTATGACCACGATCTAAATAGTTTTTTTGCCTTTTTTGTTCATATCAAAGGCCAAAAATAATAAACCTTTAGGAAGTTGTACTGGATTTCCAGCTAAATTTGAGAAATTTGGAAAAGCTACCAGAACTCAAGGAATAATTATCAATATCTAGTATTTTGGGGGATTTTACTATTAAATACCTAATTGCATATGATGGCGGAAAAATATTTTAAATTTCTCGCTCCATAGATAGCATTCACTGCCACAGAACACTAAAGTTTTTCTCTCTCAAATTGATTTTCATTCTCATTACATATAACTGTTTTTATGAATTCTGTGACAACCGGATTTCGCCCAGCAAGTAATTCAAAAAGTTGAATAACCTAAAAGGTTATCCAAACTAAATCTTTTCTGATCGCTCATTAAATTTATAATATCATCATCATACATCATATACATTTTTACGTTCTCTTTTAGCAATTTCTCTTACAAATTCAATTCTTGTTTGTTGATTGTTGAATGTATTATTCAACTTCTCTTTCAATTCTTGATTTTTAGATATTAATATACTCTATTTGTTGAGCCTCAGATTGGTTTAATAGTTCCTTTATTTTTTCCAATTCTCACAAAAGATTTGCATGGTGTTGGTTCTGTTTTTGTGTAATTTTTCATCATCTATTCTTCGTTGATATTCTTCTATGGCATTAATATATTTTATTTGTTGAGCTTCAGATTGGTTTAACTCATTCTTTATTTTTCCTAATTCTAACAAAAGGGTTGTGCAATGTTGGTCCTGTTCTTGTGTAATTTTTGCACCTTCACCTTCATTTTCATCTTCATCTTCATCAGTAGTTATTATTTTAAATCGGTTTGGTTGGTTTTCTCTTGAAAACTAGAAATAAAACCATACATGATGGCGAAAGTCATTTGATAAAATTCGAAACTTTCGAAAAAATCACACAAGTTTTCGAAATCGAAATACCCTTGGCGAAATTAAAATCAAAATCAAAATTCAAAATCGAAATTCAAAATCAAAATTCAAAATCAAAATCGAAATTCAAAAAATCGAAATAAAAGCACTTTTATTAATTTCGAATTTCGAATTTTGATTACAAATTTCGATTTTGATTTCGATTTTCGATTTTGATTTCGAATTTTGATTTTTTCGAAACCTGTTAGGGTATATTCGAAATGTTTGAACCCTAATCGTCGAAATTATTGTCGAAACAAAACTATTTCGCCATCATGTATGATTAATGCAAAAGTTATTTATTAATTTCGAATTTCGATTTTGATTTTTTCGAAACCTGTTAGGATATATTCGAAATGTTTGAACCCTAATCGTCGAAACTATTTCGCCATCATGTATGGTTAAACCCCTAAATCCGCTAAATCGAGGTCCGTTAAATCGAGACTCACTGTGTAATATATGTTTATAAAATTGAAAAAATTCGGTACATATTGAAATCCTTGATCTTTTTGTCCAAGCCTTTTAACTAACGAAAAGTATATTCAAGCAAAACACCCTAAGTGATAAAAATCTACAAATATTCATAATAATGTAATAACATTTATTTCTACCTATACTTGCAATTGGACACGTCAAACAAAATTTTACATATATGAATATAAAGGCGAAATTTGGCTTTGAGGGTCGGATTATTTTCAAATTTGGCGGTGGTTGCTACACAAGTATTAAATGGAGATTAGAAGTCATTTGATTGTAAAATTTTACTATGTAATTCGAATTTTACTATGATGCAGATCATGTCCTGCGACTGTTATTATTGTTGTTGTTGTTGTTGTTGTTGTTGTTGTTGTTGTTGTTGCTGTTGTTGTTGTTGTTGTTGTTGTTGTTTGTTGTTCTTGTAGCCCTCCTTTCCATCAAAAATATTTATCCCGCAAGAACCTAGTGGATACATTTGAACAAAAAATTTTAAATATTAATACATATTTATTTTTTTACAATTTACGATTTATACTCTACCATTATTTTTTATATTAATGAAGACTTCCTTTGCCATTTCAAAAAGGGCAAGGTTGTTAAATAATTTTCAAATTGTGCATTTTTCTTCTTCACAATAGGCAACAGGAAAACCTTTTTCGAAAAAAGCCTTCAACAATAACGTTTTTTTTTCACATTTTCAAAAAAAGGCATGGTTCATTAAAAAGTTGAATTAATTCCGAATCGTTACATTTTTTTTAGAGATGTTAATCAGTCCTAAACAGTTCAGGACAGTCCTGGGACTGGCAGTCCTATCTTGGGACTGGACTGGACTTAAGTCCT